ATCCCCAGTTCCTTCAATGAATCCTCGTTTGGGGGCAGCTAGATGACACAGTGAATAGAGCTCTGGCCTTGGAGTCAGGAGGACCTGAGTTCAAATCCAGCCTCAGACACTTAACACTTACTAGCTGTGTGACCCTGGGCAAGTCACTTAACCCCAACTGACTCACAAAAAAAAAATCCTCCTTTGCTATTGTTTTGAATTTTTTCACCACCTTAGTTGCTTTGCTTTGTACGTAAGCCAACTTGGCAGTGTCTTTTCTGAAATCTGGAGCTTACCCCAGATATAATCTAACCAAGGCATGCAAATAAGTAAGCAAAAAGCATTTATTAAACACCTGCTATGTGCCAGGCATGTGGCAAGCATTAGGAATACAAAGTTAAAAAATGAAATAGCCCCTGCCCTCAAGGGGCTTATATTCTACTGGAAGGAAATAACATGTTGTCAGAGAATTCACATAAAATATAAATCAAAGAATGATTGGGTGGGGGTTATCTAGCTTCCTTAAAGACTTAGGTCAAGGCCCCTTTCCAATAGGTCTTTCCCAGACATTCCTACTGTTGGTGCTTTCTCTTCTAAAGCTACCTTCTATCTACTGTATGTGCCTAAAATGTGTGTGTGTATGTGTGTGTGTGTGTATACTACAAACACACATATACATATAAATGTTGTCTCCCTAATTAGAATGTAAGCTCCTTGAAGGCAAGGACTATTGGTACATGACAAGAGCTTAATAAATGATTGATTGCTTTGTGAAGAGGTAGCATATAACAAATGAGACAAATCTGGCAGGTTTCTAATACACTTCTAAAATTTCAACAGTAGTTATATTTGCATCAAGTTTTAATTAATTGGAGTCAATAGGAACAGAGAATCCAACTTTATTCTGCTTGAATGTGTAGATATTTCCTACAAGAGTATAGGAACCAAGCCAGCAACAGTGAATTATTTGACAAGTGTTCACTTGTTGAGAAGTCAACATTCAGTTCTTTGAAAACTCCACAGGATTATTCAGTTCTTCATGGTCTGCTAATTATTTTTTCATTGGAAACATTAGCCTTTCAAACTCCAAAACAACCCTTCAGAAATTACCCATGCTTCAGACTTTCATCTTCTTCTTGAGCATGAGTCCAGAGACAGAAACCTCTTGTGATTGCTTCACTGAAAAGCAATCAGAAATGGGGCAGCTAGGTGGTGCAGTGGCTAGAGCACCAGCCTTGAAGTCAGGACGACCTGAGTTCAAATTCGACCTCACTCTAAACACTTGACACTTACTAGCTGTGTGACCCCGGGCAAGTCACTTAACCCCAATTGCCTCAGCAAAAAAAAAAAAAAAAAAAAAAAAAAAGCAATCAGAGAAAGCCTGAGTTAGGTGCTATCACTTAGCACTCTGGACCATTCTGGAGGACCAACTCAGGGGCCCCTTCCAGGATACCTCCAGCCATAAATGAGGAAGTTTTAAAAATACATTTTATTGATACTTTGGAGTTTTACACATCAATCACTTCCCAATAAACAACCCCTATAATATCCTCATTTAAAAAGTCAAGCAAAACTAACTGTGATTGTTATTGACAGTTCATTCAACTTTCTATTCTTAATTTAACCATTTGTTAACACCAGTTAACACAGTACCTGGCACAAAACAGACAACAAATGCTAGTTGATTGAATGTTTAATTGAACAAAGAAACAAAACTTGTTTAAATCTCATTTTTCTGGAATCAGCATTGGCCATTGTATTTCACCTCAGTTTTGTGTAACATACATTATCATTTTAGTGGTGCCTTTTTTTGGTAACACATTCGTTTGTAAATATGTTGCTCTCCTCCTGCCCCTCACCCAACTCCTAGTGGCTTTTCCTGTAAGGAAGATTACAAAAAAAGGGAAAAAAAAAGAGAAAAGAATTCAGCAAAAGTGACCAATACATTGACTGCTTCTAACAGGATACACAACATTCCATAAACATAGTTTTCTCTCTCCGCTCCCACCTGCCAAGACCTCTTGAATGAAAGAAGAGGCATTCATTTTCCCCTCTGTGAGGCCAAGTTGGGTTTTTATAAATTGCATAGTATTTGGCTTCATTTTAGTGTTCTTCCTATTTACAATATTGTAGTCATCATGTACATTCTGGTTCTGCTTGTTTCATTCTGCAGTTCATAAAAGGTTTACCAAGTTTTCTTCAATTCTTCATATTCATTATTTCTCTTTTTTTCCTTTTCCCTAGGCAATGGAGTTAAGGGACTTGCCCAGGGTCACACAGCTAGTTAAGTGTCAGAAGCAGGATTTGAACTCAGGTCCTCCTGATTCCAGGGCCAGTGCTCTATCCACTGTACCATCTAGCTGACCCCCATCATTTCTCATAGTGCAGTAATACTCAAAGTAACATAACATTTATCAAAATAAAAACAAAACCAGTTACATTTGTTCTGTGTCCCCTTTTGGAAACCATCTGTGTACTTAAAGCCATTGCTTTGTTCCTTTATAAGAAATATATGTAGTTATAGTCAATGTATATTCTGTGCTTATTCTGTCACTCTCATGTTGCATCACTTCACCTTTCCAAATTTCTTTGTATTATTCAGGTTTGCCTCTCTATAATAATTACCGCATTATTTAATCAGCCATTCCACAAAGGTTGGACATTTGTTGCTTTAAGTCCTGCACTATTACAAAGAAAGCAGCTGTTAATATTTTTTTAACAGATATATCCTTTTTTCTTTCCAGTAACATCTTTAGGTCCTAGCCCCAACAATGGAATTACTGGGTCAAAGGGTATGATTATTTTGGTAGTTTATGCTCCAAAAAGTTTACTTTAATCCAAAGTCCCAGTGGCAATATGATAGTGTTCCTATCTTTGCATCCCTTTGCATTTTTTTTTTTACTATTTTATGTCAATTTGACTATTATAATATGGTGTTCAGTGATCTTGATTTACATTTCTCTGTAATGGTTAGAAAATCTGAACAGCTTTTCACATGGCTATAGTACTATACTAATAAGCACATTGTGGCTTAGTGGTTAGAGGACCAATTTTAGAATAAGGAAGACATGAGTTCACATCCTTCTTTTGACACAAACTAGCTAAGGTATCTAGGTGGTATGGTAGATAAAGGACTGGACTTGGGAGCACCAGTTCAAATCCTGCCTTAGACATTTATTAGTTATATAATCCTGGACAAGTCACTTAGCCTTTCTTTCCTTCAGTTTCCTCTTCTGTAAAATGGTGAGTTTGAACTTGATGGCTATGAACCTACGAACTATGTTATCAGAGGAGATACAACTGCAGCAGGAGTCAGGCAACTTATTACCCCATTAAGTTCCAGACAAGGGACTAATCTGAATATACAGAGATAGTTTCCAAACCAGGAGTTGTAAACACTTAGTGAAATCTCAGGTCTGAACTCCCCCTCACCCTCCAAAAAATTCCTCCTTCAAAAATCGTTCAGATCCTTTGACTTCCTCTCTAAGAGAGTACGTGTTATTTTGAAGGATAAATAGTCATTCCTTATAAATTCTCTATGTCCCACATTTACCTGATATATTTGTAATGTTTTTCTCAATGTTTTCCCCTTTTTTTCTTTTTAAGAGATTGCTTTTGGTTATAAAAATATCATTTCTTTGTATAACTAAAACATCAATATTTTCTCTAACAATTTCTTCCATTTGTTTGATAATTTTTTTCTCTCTCCATAATTAAGCCAATCTATCATTCAGTTTTCTTCTGGATTTTAAAATATTTAGCTCATTGATTTACAGTCTAGTATTGCACATGATCTAAGGCATGAGTCTAAACCCATTTTCCTCTCTATGGTTATCTAATTTTCCCAAAATTTTATCAAATTTAATTTTTTAATTCTATCCTTCCATGTGTTTTTTTATTATTGTTATTGATACTAATAATCTCTCCCATACATTAGTTTATATTTCTGGCTTTTCTGTTGTGATCCATCAGTCTACTTCTCCCAGTAACAGACAGTTCTTATAATTACTGCTTCAGAAAACATTTTGAAATCCCTTTATGTTAGTCACTGAGGAAAGTGGACTCAGATTTTAGTGCAGTTTCTATGTAGCAAGGTCATGTCAAAATGCAGCATAGTCATCGGATGAAGTAGCTTCTCAGCTACCGCTGAGCTGGATCCTGAAGGTCTTTCTGTGGAGCCTCAATGCCTTTCTATGGAGCTGGTTCCAAAACGCAATATGGACTCTCTTCTGGGACCTCAAGTAGCTCACTTTTTTGACCTTTTGAAGCTCAGGAAGTCTTAGCTATCTACCATCTTTTTCCTGTAGAAGTGGAAAGAATAGGCTCACCAAGCACAGAAGCAACAGCTTTTGGGTTACTTGGGCCTGAGGATTCTCTCTCCACTGAGGATTTAGTCCTTATCTCCTTATTTGAACAGCACCAAGAAGGAAAAAGCCAGACCAAGATCCAGATCCAGGCTAGTAAGTCTCCTTTTAATGTACCCTAGTTCCAGCTACTCAGCTGATCAACAATGTGTGTACTCATCATCTGATTAGCACCCTGTAACCACTTTTACAGAATGTTTATTGAGGCTCCAATTCAGGGAGCATTAACCTTCACCAGGCCCCTCTGAAGGCTGCCTAATCTCTTCCCTTTGGAGAATTGCATCAGCTCCTCCCCCATTACACACCCCATTAAAGCAGTGCGATTATTGCATTTCATGTCATAACCATGAAAGTTCAATGTGTTGTTTGTTTAAAAAAAAATGTCATTTTTATTCCTAAAAGACAGTTACCAATATGAAATGCATAATGAAATTTGTATCTCATGTGATTCTGTATTGCATTTTGCACTACTCATTTTCATGAAAATTGTTTAATTATCATTCCCTTTATAGCTTCTGTCTGCTGTGCTTTCCCTAGAAATTAAGAACTAGTAACACAGTGAATATAAATTGGGACCTTGAGTTTGGTTAATATTTTTCATGTTCTTCTCTAACTAGGTCGCTGTCACCCCAGCAGTCTGGCTTCGAGAGTTTTAAGATGGATGAAGCCATAGAGCTTTCAAATGATGGAAACTCCCTGATAAAAGCGGTCTATCAAAGCCGGCTGCGTCTGACCAGGCTCTTGTTGGAAGGTGGCGCCTACATCAACGAGAGTAATGATCGTGGGGAAACCCCTTTAATGATAGCTTGTAAGAGCAAGCATATAGACCACCAGAGCGTCAGCAAAGTCAAAATGGTCAAGTATCTGTTGGAAAATAATGCTGATCCTAACATACAAGACAAAACTGGAAAAACAGCCTTGATGCATGCTTGCTTAGAAAAGGCCGGCCCTGAAATAGTCTCTTTGCTGATAAAAAGTGGTGCCGACTTGAGTCTGCAAGACCACTCTAGCTACTCAGCCCTAGTTTACGCTATCAATTCAGAAGACAAAGATACCTTGAAGGTTCTCCTCAATGCTTGCAAGGCAAAAGGAAAAGAAGTCATCATAATTACGACAGCTAAGTCTCCCTCCGGGAGGCACACAACCAAGCAGTACTTGAATATGCCCCCTGGGGATATGGAGGAATTTCATTCTCCAACCTCCTGTACTACCCCTTCAGAAATAGAGATTAAAACCACTTCTTCCTCCCGCTCAAACTCCTCTGAAATGGATAAAGGGCTTTTTGGCTTTAAACATCTGGATCTTTCAGGTAGCAGTGACGATGCTTCAGAACCAGGTTCCCCTACTAGAAGACCTGCTGCAGTTCATAGTGGGCCTAAGCTGGGCCAAGCGCAACACCTGCATTTAGATCCTTGGATAAAAAGCTCTCCTTCACTCCTGCACCACAGTAAAGTGGCTTCTTTACAAGAAGAACTTCAGGATATTACACCAGAGGAAGAATTCTCTCTGAAAATAAACGGGCTAGCCTTATCCAAGAGGTTTATCACTCGACACCAAAGCATTGATGTGAAAGACGCCGCACATTTGTTAAAGGCCTTTGAACAGGCTGGTTCCAGGAAGCTGTCTTATGATGAGATCTATTCGCAGCCCCTCTTTTCAGAAGGGAGCAATCCCTGCAGCGACATCCCTGTGGATCAGGACTCCGAATCAGCAGCCCAGGCAATGTTTGTTTCTACCTTGAGAAGTATCGTCCAAAAGAGAAGCTCGGGGGCAAATCACTATAGTTCGGATTCTCAGCTCACTACTGGTCTCACTCCGCCAACTTCAGAAGATGGAAAAACATTTGTAGGAAAGAAGAAAGTCCTCTCCCCATCTCCACCGGTGCTTGCGGGGTCCAAAGAATTGCTAGAAAATGTGCCTCCCGGCCCGCTGAGCAGGAGAAATCACGCGATGCTGGAAAGACGGGGTTCGGGGGCGTTCCCACTGGATCACACTGCACAAACCCGTCCAGGGTTTCTTCCCCCCTTAAATGTGAATTCTTATCTTCCCATCCCAGATATCGGTGTTAGCAACAAGATTTCCAGTCTCTTTTCTTGTGGACAAAAGATACTCATGCCAACAGTCCCTACCTTTCCCAAAGAGTTCAAAAGCAAGAAAATGTTGTTAAGGAGACAATCATTACAAACGGAACAAATTAAGCAACTGGTAAATTTTTAAAAGATAATCAATACACACATTTACATAACGTATCTGTGTCTGAAAGACAGAAGGAGCCTTGAATGGTTATCTAATCCATCTTCCTTCCCCCACAGAAGCAGTCTGAAACTCTATGGGTATCCATTAGGAGTTGAGCGTTATTTTAGGCACTGTGGTAATCTAGACCTTTAGATAAAAGAGATAGTCACTGCTTTTGGGCAGTTGAAAACACCTAAATTATCGTGTGTGTGTGTGTGTGTGTGTGTGTGTGTGTGTGTG